TCTGAACATGAAAATTCTGAAAAACTTCTAAATAAAGAATGTCCATTGTTTAAAAGGAAAGTAATAGCGTAAAAAAAAAAAAAAAAAAATAAATAAAATAAAAAATTAATAAAAAAACTTTGTTTATTATTTAGAAAAAACATCTTAGGAAAAAAGTATTTTTTAACAATTTTTTGAAATTTTTTAAATTTTTAAAAAAAAAAAAATTTTGGTTAAAATCACATTTTTTTTTAACGTCATCAAAAAACGTTTTTTAACATAGTTTTTTTTACGTTTTTTGACAGAAAAAACACATTGATTTGGAAATTCTTCAAAAATAAAATATTTGTCCAATTTTAATGAAATTTTCAGGACTTATTCACAAATGAATGAAATTTTTTTTTAAAATTTTTTTTTGGTAAAAAAATATTTTTTAAAATATGTTACCCCCACATTTACTTAATTTAATGAAATTTCGCCCAAAATTTTTTTGGTTCCTGAGTTTTTTTTTTTTGTTAAAAGTAGGAGTCTTCGAAGATGGTAAATAACCTAATTTTTTTTTTCAAATTTGAGCTATTTAACTGAAAATCTGCTCTGAATTGAAAAAAAAATGAATCCAATAAAACTATGATATTATTTAATTAGAAAAGCTTTTAATTGCTTTTGTAAATAAGTAATATTAAGGACATTATTGTCTGAAGAAATCTTTTTTTTTCTGATGAATAATTAATTTTTACAAAAATTTTTCGTTTTTTAAGAAATTTTAATTATAATAATTTATAATAGTTTTAAAATCGTGTAAAGCTCTGTATTAGGAGGGTTCCTCAATATTATGTAGTAATTAAGTAGAAAAAAAATTTACGAATCCAAAATTGCTAAGTTTAATAAATTTAGTTGCGCTATTTTTTTAAAAATAATTTTTTATGTTGTATTTTTGACTTAATACATTCCTTATTTCCATGTATGATATACAAAAATTGCCATTATTATAACAAGGTCACGTGATCTAAGGGTTTTGTCCCTTTACGTGGCCTTTTCAAATTTTTTCGTTTCTTATAAGTTGTATTTTTTCAGCTTCAAAAGTGTAAACTTTAAATTTTAAATTATTTTTTCTTTTTTTAATTTACTATTTCACTAAATAATTTTTTTTTATGTATTGTATTTCCATTAGTGTGTGTCATACTCAAATAGAATAATTTTTTAAAACTCAGACTTAAAAAATTATGTCATTTATGGTCATCAGTAGTAGTTGTCATCGGCTCGTCAATCAATCATTATCAATAAGATCGAACAAATGAACAGGACCGCTCGTTAATAATTGGATGTATATTATTTTTTATGCTATAAAAAAATATTTATTTTGAAATCAGATTACTTTAACTTTAAATTTTTTAATTTTACTAAAATAACGTGTCAGAATTTTTTTTTTAAATATTTAAAAATCGATAAATTTGTGTTTGTTTACAAATTTCTTAAAATTAAGAAAATGGCCGTTTTAAGAAAATTTAAAATTTGAAATTAAATTTGACAATCAAATGTATATAGTTTCTATCTGAAATACACCAGAATTGTTTAATTAATAGAAATCGTAAATTTAATTATTAAACTTTCAATTAAAGCTAAAATGAAATCTTCAAGAATGTTTTTTCATTGTAAAAAAATCATTTTAAACTTCAATATAGAAAATTTATGCCGAAATAGTGGAGGTACTTATATCTATATATCCCTGCCACTATATCATTATTTATCTCAATGATATCACTGACACTTGCCGATGACATCCGGGGTCTAATATGTGTGTGTGAGTAAATGTATGTGTGTCTCTCAGTACATGTCTATGTGCGTGTGCGTGTGTGTGCGTGTGTTTTCTGCCTTTCTTTCTTTCTTCTTCCTCCCCCCCCACCTTCTTTGTTTTCTCTGCATACTTTTCCCTCCCTTTTTATCTCATGCAAAAATAAAGTTTCATTCCATTCAAATCTAAATTATTTGATTTAAAAGAAAGGACCCCCCCTCCCTCTTTCATAAAGCCTTTCCTTTCTCTTCTCACATTTTCTCACGCTTTCTTCTTCTCTCATTCCTCTCTCTCTTAGTCCCTCCCTTATTATCTAATGAAACGCCCTTTAGTCCGGGTCGGGGTAACTATTCTCGTCCAATGAAATGCCTTGAAATCCGATGACGTCACGGCGCTTTCCCGCTGCTTTCACTTGGCAAAAAGCGACACGAAGAAGAAGACGTCATTTTTTTTTTTTGCTCTTTTGTCTTTTGAGGAAAAAAAAAAACTCATTTCAATTGAATTGAAATCCGAACGGAATCAATTGGAAGTCAGAATTTTCCTATCGATTTCCAAATAATCGAACTTTACCGAAATATTTTCATAAATCCAAAGAGAAATTCTTCGTTTTACTTTTATTTCATGTTTCCCTGCCACACTCTTTTTACCCCACCAAAAAAAAAAACTTTTTAGTAACAATTTTTTTTTTTTAAATTCATAGAATAACAAAAAAAAAATGTCTGATTCGGATTCTGTGGTAAAAGAAATGCGTTTTTAGTTAAGATTTCTGATAAAGTCTTTCCAATAAATGATTGAAAATATCGATTATTATTTATCGTCTGCTTCTTTCATTTCTTTCTTTCTAAAAACCATTTTGTAGCGATTTGAAATTCGAGAAAATTATGAATATATCTGTCAATCTCTGTAAAACTCTCTATATTAATCTGTCCATATCTATCTCTGCAAGAATTTCCAAATTAATGAGTTTTTCAACTGAAAAAAAGGCGCTAAAAATATTACCCGACTTCTGAGCTAAGAAAAAAAAAAGATTTTCAATTAAAATTTCGGATTTGCTAAAAACGAATAAAAATTTTTAAAAAATAATTAAAAATGATTTCGTTTTTCCTCTTCTTAGTAAAATGAATTGTTTCACATCAAATTGGGTTTTCATTAAGTTTAGCGGCATTTTTACATCGTGTTGTTTTTGGCCATTTATTGAAGTGAACCCTGACGTATAATGTGCATCCAGAGGGGTGACACCGGGGTGAGGGGTGAGGGGGCATGTATTTCGTTGCCAGGCAACAAACTTCCACATTGTTTTTGCATTCGTCTGTCTGTTGCAATCTGTTCAATCTGTTTCAATCTATCTATTCAATCTATCTATCTATCTATCTATCTATCTATCTATCTATCTATATCTTTTATTCAATCTAATCTATCTATCCTATCTATCTATCTCTGTCTTGGTTCTATCTATCTATCTATCTATCTATCTATCTATCTATCTATCTATCTATCTATCTATTTCTATTTTTCAGATTTTTAATCTGAATCTATCTATCTATCTCATCTTGATTCTATCTGTATCTATCTATCTATCTATTGTCTATCTAAATATCTATTATCCATTTCATTCATCTTTTTGACTTTTAATTATTCATTACATTCAATCTCGTGCTCTTGATTCTATGTTATCTATCTAATAATCTAAAATTGATCTATTACGATCTATCTATCTAAAGAATCTATCTTTCATCTAGGAAATCTATTTTATTTAAGAGCTATTTATCTATATATTTTCGTGATTATCCAGTCCAATATAATAAATATATAACGATATAATATTATATATATATATATATATATATATATATATATATATATAAATTATTTAAAAATATGATTCCAACATGCCAAGATTTTAAAATGTTTTAAACAAGGCCGAATCTTTAAAAGGTTACCCATGAATTAAATTTTTATTTTACTATGCCTCTGTTCCATCTTTAATTTAATTCTAAGATTAATTGAATTTACTCCCTTGTTGAAATTTTGTTAATCTATTTTAAATAAATAATTGGACTATAAAAATGTTATTCTTTTATCTATACTTAAACACACACACGTCCATATATATATATATATATATATATATATATATATATATATATATATTATATATATCCGTATGTCTATTCCATACATGAAATATAAAAATTTTCTCCCTGTTCTTTTTCCCCCTTATTTTTCCCTTATATTAACGCCCTCCAGTCCAGAGGTGACTATTCTCGTCCAATGAAATGCCTTAAACCCCATGACGTCACAGTGTGTTTGCTTTCCTCCCCTTCAGTTATTCAATCCGTGCTTTTTCCTCCCTTGTTATCTATAACGCCCTCCAGTCCAGAGGTGTGACTATTCTCGTCCAATGAAATGCCTTAAACATATGACGTCACAGTGTATTTATTTCCTCCCCTTCAGTTATTCAATCCGTGCTTTTCCCTCCCTTGTTATCTTGTAACCCCCCTCCAGTCCAGAGGTGTGTCTATTCTCGTCCAATGAAATGCCTTTTAAACACCCATGACGTCACAGTGTGTTTGCTTTCCTCCCCTTCAGTTATTCAATTGCTTTTCCTCCTTGTTATCTCATAGTAACCCCCCAGTCCAGAGGTGTGACTATTCTCGTCCAATGAAATGCCTTAAACACCCATGACGTCACAGTGTGCTTTTCCCCCTCATCCCCCCTTGTTATTATAACAATCCAGAGGTGCTTTTCCCTCCCTTGTTATCTCCATGACGTCACACCCCCCTTCAGTCATTCAAGGTGTTATTCTCGTCCAATGAAAACCAGTCCAAACACCCATGACGTCACAGTGTGTTTGCTTTCCTCCCCTTCAGTTATTCAATCCGTGCTTTTCCCTCCTTGTTATCTCATGTAACCCTCCAGTCCAGAGGTGTGACTATTCTCGTCCAATGAAATGCCTTAAACACCCATGACGTCACAGTGTGTTTGCTTTCCTCCCATTCAGTTATTCAATCCGTGCTTTTTCCTCCCTTGTTATCTCATGTAACGCCCTCCAGTCCAGAGGTGACTATTCTCGTCAATGAAATGCCTTAAACACCCATGACGTCACAGTGTGTTTGCTTTCCTCCCTTCAGTTATTCAATCCGTGCTTTTCCCTCCCTTGTTATCTCATGTAACGCCCTCCAGTCCAGAGGTGTGACTATTCTCGTCCAATGAAATGCCTTAAACACCCATGACGTCTCAGTGTGTTTGCTTTCCTCCCCTTCAGTTATTCAATCCGTGCTTTTCCCTCCCTTGTGTTATCAGTCCATGTAACGTCCCCTTAAACACCAGTCCAGCTTTCCTCCTTCAGTTATTCAATCCGTGCTTTTCCCCTCCTTGTTATCTCATGTAACGCCCTACTATTCTCGTCCAATGAAATGCCTTAAACACCCATGACGTCTCAGTGTGTTTGCTTTCCTCCCTTCAGTTATTCAATCCGTGCTTTTCCCTCCTTGTTATCTCATGTAACGCCCTCCAGTCCAGAGGTGTGACTATTCTCGTCAATGAAATGCCTTAAACACCCATGACGTCACAGTGTGTTTGCTTTCCTCCCCTTCAGTTATTCAATCCGTGCTTTTCCTCCTTGTTATCTCATGTAACCCCTCCAGTCAGAGGTGTGACTATTCTCGTCCAATGAAATGCCTTAAACACCTATGATGTCTCAGTTGTTTCTTCCTCCCTGTTCAGTTATTCAATCCGTACTTTTCCTCCCTTGTTATCTCATGTAACCCTCCAGTCCAGAGGTGACTATTCTCGTCCAATGAAATGTAAACACCCATGACGTCATACAGTGTGTTTGCTTTCCTTTCCTTCAGTTATTCAATCCGTGCTTTTTCCCTCCTTGTTATCTCATGTAACGCCCTCCAGTCCAGAGGTGTGTCTATTCTCGTCCAATGAAATGCCTTAAACACCCATGACGTCACAGTGTGTTTGCTTTCCTCCCCTTCAGTTATTCAATCCGTGCTTTTCCTCCCTTGTTATCTCATGTAACGCCCTCCAGTCCAGAGGTGTGACTATTCTCGTCCAATGAAATGCCTTAAACACCCATGACGTCACAGTGTGTTTGCTTTCCTCCCTTCAGTTATTCAATCCGTGCTTTTCCTCCAGTCCTTGTTATCTCATAAACACCCATGAAGTGTGTTTGCTTTCCCCTCCAGTCTCAGACCCCCTCCAGTGTGACTATTCTCGTCCAATGAAATGCCTTAAACACCCATGACGTCACAGTGTGTTTGCTTTCCTCCCTTCAGTTATTCAATCCTTGTTATCTGCTTTTCCTCCTTGTTATTCTCTCATGCCTTAACACCCCGTGTTTGTCCAGTTATTCATGACGTCCAGGTGCACCCTGACCCAGTGTTTGATCTATTCTCAGTCCAGATGAAATTCTCTTAAACACCCATGACGTCACAGTGTGTTTGCTTTCCTCCCATTCAGTTATTCAATCCGTGCTTTTCCCTCCCTTGTTATCTCATGTAACCCCCTCCAGTCCAGAGGTGTCTATTCTCGTCCAATGAAATGCCTTAAACACCCATGACGTCACAGTGTGTTTGCTTTCCTCCCTTCAGTTATTCAATCCGTGCTTTTCCTCCCTTGTTATCTTAACCTCCAGTCCAGAGGTGTGACTAATTCGTCCAATGAAATGCCTTAAACACCCATGACGTCACAGTGTGTTTGCTTTCCTCCCCTTCAGTTATTCAATCGTGCTTTTCCTCCCTTGTTATCTCATGTAACCCCTCCAGTCCAGAGGTGTGACTATTCTCGTCCAATGAAATGCCTTAAACACCCATGATGTCTCAGTGTGTTTGCTTTCCTCCCCTTCAGTTATTCAATCCGTGCTTTTCCTCCCCTTGTTATCTCATGTAACCCCTCCAGTCCAGAGGTGTGACTATTCTCGTCCAATGAAATGCCTTAAACACCCATGACGTCACAGTGTGTTTGCTTTCCTCCCCTTCAGTTATTCAATCCGTGCTTTTCCCTCCCTTGTTATCTCATGTAACCCCCTCCAGTCCAGAGGTGTGTCTATTCTCGTCCAATGAAATGCCTTAAACACCTATGATGTCTCAGTCCGTCTGCTTTCCTCCCCTTCAGTTATTCAATCCGTGCTTTTCCCTCCCTTGTTATCTCATGTAACCCCCTGCAGTCCAGAGGTGTGACTATTCTCGTCCAATGAAATGCCTTAAACACCCATGACGTCACAGTGTGTTTGCTTTCCTCCCCTTCAGTTATTCAATCCGTGCTTTTCCCTCCCTTGTTATCTCATGTAACCCCCTCTCCAGTCCATGAAAGGTGTGTCACAGTGTGTCGTCCAATGAAATCATGTAACGCCCTCCAGTCCAAACATTCCCATGACGTCACCATGATGTCTCAGTTCGTCTGCTTTCCTCCCCTTCAGTTATTCAATCCGTGCTTTTCCCTCCCTTGTTATCTCATGTAACCCCCTCCAGTCCAGAGGTGTGTCTATTCTCGTCCAATGAAATGCCTTAAACACCTATGATGTCTCAGTTCGTCTGCTTTCCTCCCCTTCAGTTATTCAATCCGTGCTTTAGCCTCCCTTGTTATCTCATGTAACCCCTCCAGTCCAGAGGTGTGACTATTCTCGTCAATGAAATGCCTTAAACACCCATGACGTCACAGTGTGTTTGCTTTCCTCCCTTCAGTTATTCAATCCGTGCTTTTCCTCCTTATTTATCTCATGTAACGCCCCAGTCCAGAGGTGTGTCTATTCTCGTCCAATGAAATGCCTTAAACACCCATGACGTCACAGTGTGTTTGCTTTCCTCCCTTCAGTTATTCAATCCGTGCTTTTCCCTCCTTGTTATCTCATGTAACCCCTCCAGTCCAGAGGTGTGACTATTCTCGTCCAATGAAATGCCTTAAACACCCATGACGTCACAGTGTGTTTGCTTTCCTCCCCTTCAGTTATTCAATCCGTGCTTTTCCTCCTTGTTATCTCATAAACCCCTCCAGTCCAGAGGTGTGTCTATTCTCGTCCAATGAAATGCCTTAAACACCCATGACGTCTCAGTTCGTTTGCTTTCCTCCCCTTCAGTTATTCAATCCGTGCTTTTCCTCCCTTGTTATCTCATGTAACCCCCTCCAGTCAGAGGTGTGACTATTCTCGTCAATGAAATGCCTTAAACACCCATGACGTCACAGTGTGTTTCTTTTCCTCCTTCAGTTATTCAATCCGTGCTTTTCCTCCCTTGTTATCTCATGTAACGCCCTCCAGTCCAGAGGTGTGACTATTCTCGTCAATGAAATGCCTTAAACACCCATGACGTTTCCTCCCTTCAGTGTGTTTGTTATCTCTGTAACCCCTGCAGTCAGAGGTTATTCTCGTCCAATGTGCCTTTTCCCGTCACAGTGTGTTTTATCTCATATTCAACCTTTTCCCTCCCAGTCCAGAGGTGTGACTATTCTCGTCCAATGAAATGCCTTAAACACCCATGACGTCACAGTGTGTTTGCTTTTTCCTCCCCTTCAGTTATTCAATCCGTGCTTTTCCCTCCTTGTTATCTCATATCTCATAACGCCCTCCAGTCCAGAGGTGTGACTATTCTCGTCCAATGAAATGCCTTAAACACCCATGACGTCACAGTGTGTTTGCTTTCCTCCCCTTCAGTTATTCAATCCGTGCTTTTCCTCCCTTGTTATCTCATGTAACCCCCTCCAGTCAGAGGTGTGACTATTCTCGTCCAATGAAATGCCTTAAACACCCATGACGTCACAGTTGTTTCCTGCTTCAGTTTTCCTCCCTTCAGTTATTCAATCCGTGCTTTTCCCTCCCTTGTTATCTCATGTAACGCCCTCCAGTCCAGAGGTGTGACTATTCTCGTCCAATGAAATGCCTTAAACACCCATGACGTCACAGTGTGTTTGCTTTCCTCCCCTTCAGTTATTCAATCCGTGCTTTTCCCTCCCTTGTTATCTCATGTAACCCCCTCCAGTCCAGAGGTGTGACTATTCTCGTCCAATGAAATGCCTTAAACACCCATGACGTCACAGTGTGTTTGCTTTCCTCCCCTTCAGTTATTCAATCCGTGCTTTTCCCTCCTTGTTATCTCATGTAACGCCCTCCAGTCCAGAGGTGTGACTATTCTCGTCCAATGAAATGCCTTAAAACTATTCTCCATGACGTCACAGTGTGTTTGCTTTCCTCCCCTTCAGTTATTCAATCCGTGCTTTTCCCTCCCTTGTTATCTCATGTAACCCCCTCAGTCAGAGGTGTGACTATTCTCGTCAATGAAATGCCTTAAACACCCATGACGTCACAGTGTGTTTGTTATTCAATCCGTTTTTCCCTCCCTTGTTTTCCTCCCTTCAGTTATTCAATCCTATGTGCTTTTTCCCTCCCTTGTTATCTCATGTAACGCCCTCCAGTCCAGAGGTGTGACTATTCTCGTCAATGAAATGCCTTAAACACCCATGACGTCACAGTGTGTTTGCTTTCCTCCCTTCAGTTATTCAATCCGTGCTTTTCCCTCCTTGTTATCTCATGTAACCCCCTCCAGTCCAGAGGTGTGACTATTCTCGTCCAATGAAATGCCTTAAAACACCCATGACGTCACAGTGTGTTTGCTTTCCTCCCTTCATTCTCGTTATTCAATCCGTGCTTTTCCCCCTCCCTTGTTATCTCTTGTAACGCCCTCCAGTCCAGAGGTGTGACTATTCTCGTCCAATGAAATGCCTTAAACACCCATGACGTCACAGTGTGTTTGCTTTCCTCCCCTTCAGTTATTCAATCCGTGCTTTTCCCTCCCTTGTTATCTCATGTAACCCCCTCCAGTCCAGAGGTGTGACTATTCTCGTCCAATGAAATGCCTTAAACACCTATGATGTCTCAGTCCGTCTGCTTTCCTCCCCTTCAGTTATTCAATCCGTGCTTTTCCTCCTTGTTATCTCATGTAACCCCCTGCAGTCCAGAGGTGTGACTATTCTCGTCCAATGAAATGCCTTAAACTCCCATGACGTCACAGTGTGTTTGCTTTCCTCCCCTTCAGTTATTCAATCCGTGCTTTTCCTAACGCCCTTTGTTATCTCATGTAACGCCCTCCAGTCCAGAGATGTGACTATTCTCGTCCAATGAAATGCCTTAAACACCCATGACGTCACAGTGTGTTTGCTTTCCTCCCCTTCAGTTATTCAATCCGTGCTTTTCCCTCCCTTGTTATCTCATGTAACGCCCCTCAGTCCAGAGGTGTGACTATTCTCGTCCAATGAAATGCCTTAAACACCCATGACGTCACAGTGTGTTTGCTTTCCTCCCCTTCAGTTATTCAATCCGTGCTTTTCCTTCAGCCAGTTATTCCCTTGTTATCTCATGTAACCCCCTCCAGTCCAGAGGTGACTATTCTCGTCCAATGAAATGCCTTAAACACCCATGACGTCACAGTGTTTGCTTTCTCCCCTTCAGTTATTCAATCCGTTTTCCTCCTTGTTATCTCATGTAACCCCTCCAGTCCAGAGGTGTGACTATTCTCGTCCAATGAAATGCCTTAAACACCCATGACGTCACAGTGTGTTTGCTTTCCTCCCTTCAGTTATTCAATCCGTGCTTTTCCCTCCCTTGTTATCTCATGTAACCCCCTCAGTCCAGAGGTGTGACTATTCTCGTCCAATAAATGCCTTAAACACCCATGACGTCACAGTGTGTTTGCTTTCCTCCCCTTCAGTTATTCAATCCGTGCTTTTCCCTCCCTTGTTATCTCATGTAACGCCCTCCAGTCCAGAGGTGTGACTATTCTCGTCCAATGAAATGCCTTAAACACCCATGACGTCACAGTGTGTTTGCTTTCCTCCCCTTCAGTTATTCAATCCGTGCTTTTCCCTCCCTTGTTATCTCATGTAACGCCCTCCAGTCCAGAGGTGTGACTATTCTCGTCAATGAAATGCCTTAAACACCCATGACGTCACAGTGTGTTTGCTTTCCTCCCCTTCAGTTATTCAATCCGTGCTTTTCCCCTCCCTTGTTATCTCATGTAAACCCCTCAGTCCAGAGGTGTGACTATTCTCGTCCAATGAAATGCCTTAAACACCCATGACGTCACAGTGTGTTTGCTTTCCTCCTGCTTTTTCCTTGTTATCTTATTCAATCCGTCCAATGAAAATGCCTTTTCCCTCCCTTGTTATTCAATCGTGCTTTTCCCCTTATTTATCTCATGTAACGCCCTCAGTCCAGAGGTGTGACTATTCTCGTCCAATGAAATGCCTTAAACACCCATGACGTCACAGTGTGTTTGCTTTCCTCCCCTTCAGTTATTCAATCCGTGCTTTTCCTCCCTTGTTATCTCATTAACCCCCTCCAGTCCAGAGGTGTGACTATTCTCGTCCAATGAAATGCCTTAAACACCCATGACGTCACAGTGTGTTTGCTTTCCTCCCTTCGGTTATTCAATCCGTGCTTTTCCCTCCCTTGTTATCTCATGTAACGCCCTCCAGTCCAGAGGTGTGACTATTCTCGTCCAATGAAATGCCTTAAACACCCATGACGTCACAGTGTGTTTGCTTTCCTCCCTTCAGTTATTCAATCCGTGCTTTTCCCTCCCTTGTTATCTCATGTGTAACCCCTCCCAGTCCAGAGGTGTGACTATTCTCGTCCAATGAAATGCCTTTAAACACCCATGACGTCACAGTGTGTTTGCTTTCCTCCCCTTCAGTTATTCAATCCGTGCTTTTCCCTAACGCCCCCTTGTTATCTCATGTAACGCCCTCCAGTCCAGAGGTTGTGACTATTCTCGTCCAATGAAATGCCTTAAACACCCATGACTGTGTTTCTTTCCCTTCAGTTACAGTGCTTTTTTTGCTTTCCTCCCCTTCAGTTATTCAATCCGTGCTTAAACACCCTGACGTCCTTGTTATCTCATATTAACCCCCTCCAGTCCAGAGGTGTGACTATTCTCGTCCAATGAAATGCCTTAAACACCCATGACGTCACAGTGTGTTTGCTTTCCTCCCCTTCAGTTATTCAATCCGTGCTTTTCCCTCCTTGTTATCTCATGTAACCCCTCCAGTCCAGAGGTGTGACTATTCTCGTCAATGAAATGCCTTAAACACCCATGACGTCACCGTCTGCTTTCCTCCCCTTCAGTTATTTTGCTTTTCCTCCCTTTGTTTCCTAACCCCCTCCAGTCCAGGTGTTATTCAATGAAATGCCTTAAACACCCATGACGTCCAGTGTGTTTTTTCCCCCCCTTGTTATTCAATCCGTGCTTTTCCCTCCCTTGTTATCTCCATAACCCCTCCAGTCCAGAGGTGTGACTATTCTCGTCCAATGAAATGCCTTAAACACCTATGACGTCTCAGTGTGTTTGCTTTCCTCCTTCAGTTATTCAATCCGTGCTTTTCCCTCCCTTGTTATCTCATGTAACGCCCTCCAGTCCAGAGGTGTGACTATTCTCGTCCAATGAAATGCCTTAAACACCCATGACGTCACAGTGCTTTTCCTCCATTGTTTGCTTTCCTCCCCTTCAGTTATTCAATCCGTGCTTTTCCCTCCAGTGTGTTTGTTATCTCAGTTATTAACCCCCTCCAGTCCAGAGGTGTGACTATTCTCGTCAATGAAATGCCTTAAACACCCATGACGTCACAGTGTGTTTGCTTTCCTCCCCTTCAGTTATCGTGGCACCCTCCTTGTTTTTCCCTCCTTGTTATCTCCTGTTAATTCAATCCCCTCCAGTCCAGAGAGGTGACTATTCTCGTCCAATGAAATGCCTTAAACACCCATGACGTCACAGTGTTTGCTTTCCTCCCCTTCAGTTATTCAATCCGTGCTTTTTCCTCCCTTGTTATCTCATATAACGCCCTCCAGTCCAGAGGTGTGACTATTCGTCGTCCAATGAAATGCCAGTTTTATTAAACACCCCCTCCTTGACGTCAGTCAGTGTGTTCTGCTTTCCTCCCCTTCAGTTATTCACTTTCCGTGCTTATTCCTCCCTTGTTATCTCATGTAACCCCTCCAGTCCAGAGGTGTGACTATTCTCGTCAATGAAATGCCTTAAACACCCATGACGTCACAGTGTGTTTGCTTTCCTCCCCTTCAGTTATTCAATCCGTGCTTTTCCCTCCCTTGTTATCTCATGTAACGCCCTCCAGTCCAGAGGTGACTATTCTCGTCCAATGAAATGCCTTAAACACCCATGACGTCAGTGTGTTTGCTTTCCTCCCTTCAGTTATTCAATCCGTGTTTTTTAACCCCTCCCAGAGGTGTTGTTATCTCATACCTTAAACACCCCTCCAGTCCAGAGGTGTGTCTATTAACACCTCGTCCAATGAAATGCCTTAAACACCCATGACGTCACAGTGTGTTTGCTTTCCTCCCCTTCAGTTATTCAATCCGTGCTTTTCCCTCCCTTGTTATCTCATGTAACCCCCTGCAGTCCAGAGGTGTGACTATTCTCGTCCAATGAAATGCCTTAAACACCCATGACGTCACAGTGTGTTTGCTTTCCTCCCCTTCAGTTATTCAATCCGTGCTTTTCCCTCCTTGTTATCTTAACGCCCCTCCAGTCCAGAGGTGTGACTATTCTCGTCAATGAAAAATGCCTTAAACACCTATGACGTCACAGTCCGTCTGCTTTCCTCCCCTTCAGTTATTCAATCCGTGCTTTTCCCTCCCTTGTTATCTCATGTAACACCATCCAGTCCAGAGGTGTGACTATTCTCGTCCAATGAAATGCCTTAAACACCTATGACGTCACAGTGTGTTTGTTTTCCTCCCTTCAGTTATTCAATCCGTGCTTTTCCTCCCTTGTTATCTCATGTAACCCCCCTCCAGTCCAGAGGTGTGACTATTCTCGTCCAATGAAATGCCTTAAACACCCATGACGTCACAGTGTGTTTGCTTTCCTCCCTTCAGTTATTCAATCCGTGCTTTTCCCTCCCTTGTTATCTCATGTAACCCCCTCCAGTCCAGAGGTGTGACTATTCTCGTCCAATGAAATGCCTTAAACATCCCATGACGTCACAGTGTGTTTACCTTAAACACCCATGACGTCCTCCCCTTCAGTTATTCAATCCGTGCTTTTCCCTCCCTTTTTTGTTATCTCGTGTAACGCCCTCCAGTCCAGAGGTGTGACTATTCTCGTCCAATGAAATGCCTTAAACACCCATGACGTCACAGTGTGTTTGCTTTCCTCCCCTTCAGTTATTCAATCCGTGCTTTTCCCTCCTTTGTTATCTCATGTAACCCCTCCAGTCCAGAGGTGTGACTATTCTCGTCCAATGAAATGCCTTAAACACCCATGACGTCACAGTGTGTTTGCTTTTCCTCCCCTTCAGTTATTCAATCCGTGCTTTTTCCCTCCCTTGTTATCTCATGTAACGCCCTCCAGTCCAGAGGTGTGACTATTCTCGTCCAATGAAATGCCTTAAACACCCATGACGTCACAGTGTGTTTGCTTTTCCTCCCCTTCAGTTATTCAATCCGTGCTTTTTCCTCCTTGTTATCTCATGATGTCTCAACCCCTCCAGTCCAGAGGTGTGACTATTCTCGTCCAATGTCCTTAAACACCCATGACGTCACAGTGTGTTTGCTTTCCTCCCCTTCAGTTATTCAATCCGTGCTTTTCCTCCCTTGTTATCTCATGTAACGCCCTCCAGTCCAGAGGTGTGACTATTCTCGTCCAATGAAATGCCTTAAACACCCATGACGTCACAGTGTGTTTGCTTTTCCTCCCCTTCAGTTATTCAATCCGTGCTTTTCCTCCCTTGTTATCTCATGTAACCCCTCCAGTCCAGAGGTGTGACTATTCTCGTCCAATGAAATGCCTTAAACACCCATGACGTCACAGTGTGTTTGCTTTCCTCCCCTTCAGTTATTCAATCCGTGCTTTTTCCTCCCTTGTTATCTCATGTAACGCCCTCCAGTCCAGAGGTGTGTGACTATTCTCGTCCAATGAAATGCCTTAAACACCCATGACGTCACAGTGTGTTTGCTTTCCTCCCTTCAGTTATTCAATCCTGTGCTTTTCCCTAAACACCCCTTGTTATCTCATGTAACGCCCTCCAGTCCAGAGGTGTGACTATTCTCGTCCAATGAAATGCCTTAAACACCCATGACGTCACAGTGTGTTTGCTTTCCTCCCCTTCAGTTATTCAATCCGTGCTTTTCCCTCCCTTGTTATCTCATGTAACGCCCTCCAGTCCAGAGGTGTGACTATTCTCGTCCAATGAAATGCCTTAAACACCTATGATCTTCACAGTGCTTTTGCTTCCCTCCCCTTCAGTTACTCTATCCAAGACTTTCCCTCCCTTGTTATCTCATGTAACGCCCTCTGGTCAAGCGGTGTGACTATTCCTGTCCAAAGAAATGCCTTAAACACCCAATGACGTCACAGTGTTTTGCTTTCCCCCTTCAGTTATTCAATCCGTGCTTTTCCTCCTTGTTATCTCATGTAACAACCCCTCCAGTCCAGAGGTGTGACTATTCTCGTCCAATGAAATGCCTTAAACACCCATGACGTCACAGTGTGTTTGCTTTTCCTCCCCTTCAGTTATTCAATCCGTGCTTTTCCCTCCTTGTTATCTCATGTAACCCCTCCAGTCCAGAGGTGTGACTATTCTCGTCCAATGAAATGCCTTAAACACCCATGACGTCACAGTGTGTTTGCTCCTTCAATTATTCTCCCTTCAGTTATTCAATCCGTGCTTTTGCCCTCCTTGTTATCTCCCCATGTTAACACCCTCCAGTCCAGAGGTGTGACTTTTCTCGTCCAATGAAATGCCTTAAACACCCATGACGTCACAGTGTGTTTGCTTTCCTCCCCTTCAGTTATTCAATCCGTGCTTTTCCTCCCCTTGTTATCTCATGTAACCCCTCCAGTCCAGAGGTGTGACTATTCTCGTCCAATGAAATGCCTTAAACACCCATGACGTCACAGTGTGTTTGCTTTCCTCCCCTTCAGTTATTCAATCCGTGCTTTTCCTCCCTTGTTATCTCATGTAACCCCCTCCAGTCCAGAGGTGTGACTATTCTCGTCCAATGAAATGCCTTAAACACCCATGACGTCACAGTGTTGTTTCTTTCCTCCCTTCAGTTATTCAATCCGTGCTTTTCCCTCCCTTGTTATCTCATGTAACGCCCTCCAGTCCAGAGGTGACTATTCTCGTCAATGAAATGCCTTAAACACCCATGACGTCACAGTGTGTTTGCTTTCCTCCCCTTCAGTTATTCAATCCGTGCTTTTCCTCCCTTGTTATCTCATGTAACCCCTCCAGTCCAGAGGTGTGACTATTCTCGTCCAATGAAAATGCCTTAAACACCCATGATGTCTCAGTGTGTTTGCTTTTCCTCCCCTTCAGTTATTCAATCCGTGCTTTTCCCTCCTTGTTATCTCATGTAACCCCCTCCAGTCCAGAGGTGTGACTATTCTCGTCCAATGAAATGCCTTAAACACCCATGACGTCACAGTGTGTTTGCTCCTCCCTTCAGTTATTCTCCCTTCAGTTATTCAAGTCCGTGCTATTCTCGTCCTCCCTATTGTTATCTCCATGTATCCGTGCTTTTCCCCCCTCTCATGTAAGTCCAGAGGTGTGACTATTTCGTCCAATGAAATGCCTTAAACACCCATGACGTCACAGTGTGTTTGTTTTCCTCCCCTTCAGTTATTCAATCTGTGCTTTTCCCCCCTTGTTATCTCATTAATCAGTCCAGAGGTGTGACTATTCTCGTCACCCCCTTCCAGTCCAGAGTGTTTGCTTTCCTCCCCTTCAGTTATTCAATCCGTGCTTTTCCCTCCCTTGTTATCTCATGTAACTGACTATTCTCGTCCAATGAAATGCCTTAAACACCCATGACGTCACAGTGTGTTTGCTTTCCTCCCCTTCAGTTATTCAATCCGTGCTTTTCCCTCCCTTGTTATCTCATGTAACCCCCTCCAGTCCAGAGGTGTGACTATTCTCGTCCAATGAAATGCCTTAAACACCCATGACGTCACAGTGTGTTTGCTTTCCTCCCCTTCAGTTATTCAATCCGTGCTTTTCCTCCCTTGTTATCTCATGTAACCCCCTCCAGTCCAGAGGTGTGACTATTCTCGTCCAATGAAATGCCTTAAACACCCATGACGTCACAGTGTGTTTGCTTTCCTCCCCTTCAGTTATTCAATCCGTGCTTTTCCCTCCCTTGTTATCTCATGTAACCCCCTCCAGTCCAGAGGTGTGACTATTCTCGTCCAATGAAATGCCTTAAACACCTATGATGTCACAGTCCGTTTGCTTTCCTCCCCTTCAGTTATTCAATCCGTGCTTTTCCCTCCCTTGTTATCTCATGTAACCCCCTCCAGTCCAGAGGTGTGACTATTCTCGTCCAATGAAATGCCTTAAACACCCATGACGTCACAGTGTGTTTGCTTTCCTCCTTCAGTTATTCAATGTGCTTTTCCTCCCTTGTTATCTCATTAACCCCTCCAGTCCTTCTATTCTCGTCCAATGAAATTCATGACGTCACAGTGTGTCTGCTTTCCTCCCTTCAGTTATTCAATCCGTGCTTTTCCCTCCCTTGTTATCTCATGTAACCCCCTCCAGTCCAGAGGTGTGACTATTCTCGTCCAATGAAATGCCTTAAACACCCATGACGTCACAGTGTGTTTGCTTTCTCCCTTCAGTTATTCAATCCGTACTTTTCCTCCCTTGTTATTCATGTAACCCCTCCAGTCCAGAGGTGTGACTATTCTCGTCCAATGAAATGCCTTAAACACCCATGACGTCACAGTGTGTTTGCTTTCCTCCCTTGTTATTCAATCCGTGCTTTTCCCTCCCTTGTTATCTCATGTAACCCTCCAGTCCAGAGGTGTGACTATTCTCGTCCAATAAATGCCTTAAACACCCATGACGTCACAGTGTGTTTGCTTTTCCTCCCCCTTCAGTTATTCAATCCGTGCTTTTCCCTCCCTTGTTATCTCATGTAACCCCCTCCAGTCCAGAGGTGTGACTATTCTCGTCCAATGAAATGCCTTAAACACCCATGACGTCACAGTGTGTTTGCTTTCCTCCCCTTCAGTTATTCAATCCGTGCTTTTCCCTCCCTTGTTATCTCATGTAACCCCTCCAGTCCAGAGGTGTGACTATTCTCGTCCAATGAAATGCCTTAAACACCCATGACGTCACAGTGTGTTTGCTTTCCTCCCCTTCAGTTATTCAATCCGTGCTTTTCCCCCCCCTTGTTATCTCATGTAACCCCCTCCAGTCCAGAGGTGTGACTATTCTCGTCCAATGAAATGCCTTAAACACCCATGACGTCACAGTGTGTTTGCTTTCCTCCCTTCAGTTATTCAATCCGTGCTTTTCCCTCCCTTGTTATCTCATGTAACCCCTCCAGTCCAGAGGTGTGACTATTCTCGTCCAATGAAATGCCTTAAACACCCATGACGTCACAGTGTGTTTGCTTTTTCCTCCCCTTCAGTTATTCAATCCGTGCTTTTTCCCTCCCTTGTTATCTCATGTAACCCCCTCCAGTCCAGAGGTGTGACGTCACAGTGTGTTTCTTTCCTCCAATTGAAATGCCTTAACCCCCTCCAGTCCACCTCGTCAATGACGTCACAGTGTGTTTTGCTTTCTTTCCCCTTCAGTTATTCAATCCGTGCTTTTCCCCCCTTGTTATCTCATGTAACCCCCTCCAGTCCAGAGGTGTGACTATTCTCGTCCAATGAAATGCCTTAAACACCCATGACGTCACAGTGTGTTTGCTTTCCTCCCTTCAGTTATTCAATCTGTGCTTTTCCCTCCCTTGTTATCTCATGTAACCCCTCCAGTCCAGAGGTGTGACTATTCTCGTCCAATGAAATGCCTTAAACACCCATGACGTCAGTGTTTGCTTTCCTCCCCTTCAGTTATTCAATCCGTGCTTTTCTCCCTTGTTATCTCATGTAACCCCTCCAGTCCAGATTCTATTCGTCCAATGAAATGCCTTAAACACCCATGACGTCACAGTGTGTTTGCTTTCCTCCCCTTCAGTTATTCAATCCGTGCTTTTCCCTCCTTGTTATCTCATGTAACGCCCTCCAGTCCAGAGGTGTGACTATTCTCGTCCAATGAAATGCCTTAAACACCCATGACGTCACAGTGTGTTTGCTTTCCTCCCTTCAGTTATTCAATCCGTGCTTTCCCTCCCCTTGTTATCTCATGTAACCCCTCCAGTCCAGAGGTGACTATTTCGTCCAATGAAATGCCTTAAACACCCATGACGTCACAGTGTGTTTGCTTTCCTCCCTTCAGTTATTCAATCCGTGCTTTTCCTCCCTTGTTATCTCATGTAACGCCCTCCAGTCCAGAGGTGTGACTATTCTCGTCCAATGAAATGCCTTAAACACCCATGACGTCACAGTGTGTTTGCTTTCCTCCCTTGTTATCCTTCAGTTATTCATGACGTCCAGTGTGTGCTTTTCTTCCTCCCTTCCCTTTGTTATCTCATGTAACCCCTCCAGTCCAGAGGTGTGACTATTCTCGTCCAATGAAATGCCTTAAACACCCATGACGTCACAGTGTGTTTGCTTTCCTCCCCTTCAGTTATTCAATCCGTGCTTTTCCCTCCCTTGTTATCTCATGTAACGCCCTCCAGTCCACAGAGGTGTGACTATTTCGTCCAATGAAATGCCTTAAACACCCATGACGTCACAGTGTGTTTGCTTTCCTCCCCTTCAGTTATTCAATCCGTGCTTTTCCCTCCTTGTTATCTCATGTAACTCCTCAGTCCAGAGGTGTGACTATTCTCGTCCAATGAAATGCCTTAAACACCCATGACGTCACAGTGTGTTTGCTTTCCTCCCTTCAGTTATTCAATCCGTGCTTTTCCCTCCCTTGTTATCTCATGTAACCCCTCCAGTCCAGAGTGTGTGACTATTCTCGTCCAATGAAATGCCTTAAACACCCATGACGTCACAGTTCGTTTGCTTTCCTCCCTTCAGTTATTCAATCCGTGCTTTTCCTCCCCTTGTTATCTCATGTAATCCCCTCCAGTCCAGAGGTGTGACTATTCTCGTCCAATGAAATGCCTTAAACACCCATGACGTCACAGTGTGTTTGCTTTCCTCCCCTTCAGTTATTCAATCCGTGCTTTTTCCCTCCCTTGTTATCTCATGTAACCCCCTCCAGTCCAGAGGTGTGACTATTCTCGTCCAATGAAATGCCTTAAACACCCATGACGTCACAGTGTGTTTGCTTTCCTCCCCTTCAGTTATTCAATCCGTGCTTTTCCTCCCTTGTTATCTCATGTAACCCCTCCAGTCCAGAGGTGTGACTATTCTCGTCCAATGAAATGCCTTAAACACCCATGACGTCACAGTGTCAGTTTATTTTGCTTTTTCCTCCCCTTCAGTTATTCAATCCGTGCTTTTCCTCCCTTCAGTTTTCCTCCCTTGTTATCTCATGTAACCCCTCCAGTCCAGAGGTGTGACTATTCTCGTCCAATGAAATGCCTTAAACACCCATGACGTCACAGTGTGTTTGCTTTCCTCCCTTCAGTTATTCAATCCATTGCTTTTCCCTCCCTTGTTATCTCATGTAACGCCCTCCAGTCCAGAGGTGTGACTATTCTCGTCCAATGAAATGCCTTAAACACCCATGACGTCACAGTGTGTTTGCTTTCCTCCCCTTCAGTTATTCAATCCGTGCTTTTCCTCCCTGAAATGTATTATCTCATGTAACTCCCCTCTCAGTCCAGAGGTGTGACTATTCTCGTCCAATGAAATGCCTTTAAACTCCCATGACGTCACAGTGTGTTTGCTTTCCTCCCCTTCAGTTATTCAATCCGTGCTTTTCCTCCCTTGTTATCTCATGTAACCCCCTCCAGTCCAGAGGTGTGACTATTCTCGTCCAATGAAATGCCTTAAGCACCCATGACGTCACAGTGTGTTTGCTTTTCCTCCTTCAGTTATTCAATCCGTGCTTTTCCTCCTTGTTATCTCATGTAACCCCCTCCAGTCCAGAGGTGTGACTATTCTCGTCCAATGAAATGCCTTAAACACCCATGACGTCTCAGTGTGTTTGCTTTTCCTCCCCTTCAGTTATTCAATCCGTGCTTTTCCCTCCTTGTTATCTCATGTAACGCCCTCCAGTCCAGAGGTGTGACTATTCTCGTCCAATGAAATGCCTTAAAACACCCATGACGTCACAGTGTGTTTGCTTTCCTCCCTTCAGTTATTCAATCCGTGCTTTTCCCTCCCTTGTTATCTCATGTAACGCCCTCCAGTCCAGAGGTGTGACTATTCTCGTCCAATGAAATGCCTTAAACACCCATGACGTCACAGCTTTCCTCCCTTCAGTTATTCAATCCGTGCTTTTCCTCCCTTGTTATTATCTCTAACGCCCCCAGTTCTATTCTCGTTATTAAACACCCATGACGTCTCCAGTGTGTTGCTTTCCTCCTTCAGTTATTCCCGTGCTTTTCCCTCCCTTGTTATCTCATGTAACGCCCTCCAGTCCAGAGGTGTGACTATTCTCGTCCAATGAAATGCCTTAAACACCCATGACGTCACAGTGTGTTTGCTTTCCTCCCGTTCAGTTATTCAATCCGTGCTTTTCCCTCCCTTGTTATCTCATGTAACGCCCTCCAGTCCAGAGGTGTGACTATTCTCGTCCAATGAAATGCCTTAAACACCCATGACGTCACAGTGTGTTTGCTTTCCTCCCCTTCAGTTATTCAATCCGTGCTTTTTCCTCCCTTGTTATCTCATGTAACGCCTCCAGTCCAGAGGTGTGACTATTCTCGTCCAATGAAATGCCTTAAACACCCATGACGTCACAGTGTGTTTGTTTCTTTCCTCCCTCATAGTTATTCAAATCGTTTTCCTTTGTTATCTCTTTTGTCCCCCCCCTCCAGTCCAGAGGTGTGTCTTTCTCTCGTCCAATGAAATGCCTTAAACACCCATGACGTCACAGTGTGTTTGCTTTTCCTCCCCTTCAGTTATTCAACTGTGCTTTTCCCTCCCTTGTTATCTCATGTAACCCCCTCCAGTCCAGAGGTGTGACTATTCGTCCAATGAAATGCCTTAAACACCCATGACGTCACAGTGTGTTTGCTTTCCTCCCTTCAGTTATTCAATCCGTGCTTTTCCTCCCTTGTTATCTCATGTAACCCCTCCAGTCCAGAGGTGTGACTATTCTCGTCCAATGAAATGCCTTAAACACCCATGACGTCTCACAGTGTGTTTGCTTTCTCCCCTTCAGTTATTCAATCCGTGCTTTTTCCCTCCCTTGTTATCTCATGTAACGCCCTCCAGTCCAGAGGTGTGACTATTCTCGTCCAATGAAATGCCTTAAACACCCATGACGTCACAGTGTGTTTGCTTTCCTCCCTTCAGTTATTCAATCCGTGCTTTTCCCCCCTCCCTTGTTATCTCATGTAACGTCCCTCCATGAGTCCAGTGTGAGTTATTCAATCCTGTGCTTTTCCTCCCTTGACTATTTTAGTCCAATGAATCAGAGGTTTTAAATTCTCGTCCTTAAACACCCATGACGTCACAGTGTGTTTGTTTTTCTCCCCTTCAGTTATTCAATCCGTGCTTTTCCTCCCTTGTTATCTCATGTAACCCCCTCCAGTCCAGAGGTGTGACTATTCTCGTCCAATGAAATGCCTTAAACACCCATGACGTCACAGTGTGTTTGCTTTCCTCCCTTCAGTTATTCAATCCGTGCTTTTCCTCCCCTTGTTATCTCATGTAACCCTCCAGTCCAGAGGTGTGACTATTCTCGTCCAATGAAATGCCTTAAACTCCCATGACGTCACAGTGTGTTTGCTTTCCTCCCCTTCAGTTATTCAATCCGTGCTTTTCCTCCCTTGTTATCTCATATAACCCCTCCAGTCCAGAGGTGTGACTATTCTCGTCCAATGAAATGCCTTAAACACCCATGACGTCACAGTGTGTTTGCTTTCCTCCCCTTCAGTTATTCAATCCGTGCTTTTTCCCTCCCTTGTTATCTCACAACGCCCTCCAGTCCAGAGGTGTGACTATTCTCGTCCAATGAAATGCCTTAAACACCCATGACGTCACAGTGTGTTTGCTTTTCCTCCCTTCAGTTATCCGTCCGTGCTTTTCCCTCCCTTTTGTTATCATGTAACCCCTCCAGTCCAGAGGTGTGAGCTATTCTCGTCCAATGAAATGCCTTAAACACCCATGACGTCACAGTGTGTTTGCTTTCCTCCCCTTCAGTTATTCAATCCGTGCTTTTCCCTCCTTGTTATCTCATGTAACCCTCCAGTCCAGAGGTGTGACTATTCTCGTCCAATGAAAATGCCTTAAACACCCATGACGTCACAGTGTGTTTGCTTTCCTCCCTTCAGTTATTCAATCCGTGCTTTTCCTCCCTTGTTATCTCTTAAACCCCTCCAGTCCAGAGGTGTGACTATTCCGTCCAATGAAATGCCTTAAACTCCCATGACGTCCAGTGTGTTTGCTTTATCTCAGTTATTCAATCCGTGCTTTTCCTCCTTGTTATCTCAGTCCAGTCCAGGTGTGACTATTCTCGTCCAATGAAATGCCTTTAAACACCCATGACGTCACAGTGTGTTTGCTTTCCTCCCCTTCAGTTATTCAATCCGTGCTTTTCCTCCCTTGTTATCTCATGTAACCCCCTCCAGTCCAGAGGTGACTATTCTCGTCCAATGAAATGCCTTAAACTCCCATGACGTCACAGTGTGTTTGCTTTCCTCCCCCTTCAGTTATTCAATCCGTGCTTTTCCTCCTTGTTATCTCATGTAACGCCCTCCAGTCCAGTGGTGTGACTATTCTCGTCCAATGAAATGCCTTTAAACTCCCATGACGTCACAGTGTGTTTGCTTTCCTCCCTTCAGTTATTCAATCCGTGCTTTTCCCTCCCTTGTTATCTCATGTAACCCCTCCAGTCCAGAGGTGTGACTATTCTCGTCCAATGAAATGCCTTAAACACCCATGACGTCACAGTGTGTTTGCTTTCCTCCCCTTCAGTTATTCAATCCGTGCTTTTCCTCCCTTGTTATCTCATGTAACCCCCTCCAGTCCAGAGGTGTGACTATTCTCGTCCAATGAAATGCCTTAAACACCCATGACGTCACAGTGTGTTTGCTTTCCTCCCTTCAGTTATTCAATCTGTGCTTTTCCTCCCTTGTTATCTCATGTAACCCTCCAGTCCAGAGGTGTGACTATTCTCGTCCAATGAAATGCCTTAAACTCCCATGACGTCACAGTGTGTTTGCTTTCCTCCCCTTCAGTTATTCAATCCGTGCTTTTCCTCCCTTGTTATCTCATGTAACCCCCTCCAGTCCAGAGGTGTGACTATTCTCGTCCAATGAAATGCCTTAAACACCCATGACGTCACAGTGTGTTTGCTTTCCTCCCCTTCAGTTATTCAATCCGTGCTTTTCCCTCCCTTGTTATCTCATGTAACCCCCTCCAGTCCAGAGGTGTGACTATTGCTTTCCTCCCTTCGTCCAATGAAATGCCTTAAACTCCCATGACGTCACAGTGTGTTTGCTTTCCTCCCCTTCAGTTATTCAATCCGTGCTTTTCCCTCCCTTGTTATCTCATGTAACCCCTCCAGTCCAGAGGTGTGACTATTCGTCGTCCAATGAAATGCCTTATTCAACACCCATGACGTCACAGTGTGTTTGCTTTTCCAGTGTGTTTGCTTTCCTCCCCAGTTATTCAATCCGTGCTTTTCCTCCCTTGTTATCTCATGTAACCCCTCCAGTCCAGAGGTGTGACTATTCTCGTCCAATGAAATGCCTTAAACACCCATGCGATGTCACACAGTGTGTTTGTTATCTTTCCTCCCCTTCAGTTATTCAATCCAGTTATTCATTTTTCCCCTCCCTTGTTATCTCATGTAACGCCCTCCAGTCCAGAGGTGTGACTATTCTCGTCCAATGAAATGCCTTAAACTCCCATGACGTCACAGTGTGTTTGCTTTCTCCCCTTCAGTTATTCAATCCGTGCTTTTCCCTCCTTGTTATCTCATGTAACCCCTCCAGTCCAGAGGTGTGTGACTATTCTCGTCCAATGAAATGCCTTAAACACCCATGACGTCACAGTGTGTTTGTTTTCCTCCTTTCAGTTATTCAATCTGTGCTTTTCCTCCCCCTTGTTATCTCATGTAACCCCTCCAGTCCAGAGGTGTGACTATTCTCGTCCAATGAAATGCCTTTAAACACCCATGACGTCACAGTGTGTTTGCTTTCCTCCCCTTCAGTTATTCAATCTGTGCTTTTTCCTCCCTTGTTATCTCATGTAACCCCTCCAGTCCAGAGGTGTGACTATTCTCGTCCAATGAAATGCCTTAAACTCCCATGACGTCACTTTTCTCCCGTTCAGTTATTCAATCCGTGCTTTTTCCTCCTTGTTATCTCATGTAAACCTCCAGTCCAGAGGTGACTATTCTCGTCCAATGAAATGCCTGAAATCCCATGACGTCACAGTGTGTTTTCAGTTATTATTCTCCCTTTGTCCAACGCCCTCCAGTCCAAATGCCTCCAATGAAAAACACCCATGACGTCACAGGTGTTTGCTTTCCTCCCTTCAGTTATTCAATCCGTGCTTTTCCCCCTCCTTTGTTATCTCATGTAACCCCCCCTCCAGTCCAGAGGTGTGACTATTCTCGTCCAATGAAATGCCTTAAACACCCATGATGTCTCAGTTGTGTTTTTCCTCCCTTCAGTTATTCAATCCGTGCTTTTCCTCCTTTGTTATCTCATGTAACGCTCCAGTCCAGAGGTGTGACTATTCTTGTCCAATGAAATGCCTTAAACACCCATGACGTCAAAGTGTGTTTGCTTTCCTCCCCTTCAGTTATTCAATCCTGTGCTTTTTCCTCCTTGTTATCTCAAGTAACCCCCTCCAGTCCAGAGGTGTGTCTATTCTCGTCCAATGAAATGCCTTTTAAACTCCTGCTGACGTACCAGTTGTTTCTTTCCTCCCCTTCAGTTATTCAATCCGTGCTTTTCCCTCCCTTGTTATCTCATACAACGCCCTGCAGTCCAGGAGGTAGTGACTGATTCTCGTCCAATGAAATGCCTTAAACACCCATGACGTCACAGTGTGTTTGCTTTCCTCCCCTTCATTATTCAATCGTGCTTTTTCCCTCCTTGTTATCTCATGTAACCCCTCAGTCCACAGTGTGACTATTCTCGTCCAATGAAATGCCTTAAACACCCATGACGTCACAGTGTGTTTGCTTTCCTCCCCTTCAGTTATTCAATCCGTGCTTTTCCTCCCTTGTTATCTCATAACCCCTGCAGTCAACCTATTTCCAATGAAATCCAGTCCAGAGGTACTTTTCCCTCCTTGTTATCTATGTAACCCCCTCGTCCAATGAAATGCCTGTAAACACCCATGACGTCACAGTGTGTTTGCTTTCCTCCCTTCAGTTATTCAATCCGTGCTTTTCCTCCTTGTTATCTCATTAACCCCTCCAGTCCAGAGGTGTGACTATTCTCGTCAATGAAATGCCTTAAACACCCATGACGTCACAGTGTGTTTGCTTTCCTCCCCTTCAGTTATTCAATCCTGCTTTTTCCCTCCCCTTCTTGTAACGCCCTCAGTATTCATTCTCGTCCAATGAAATGCCTTAACACCCGCAACGTCTGTTATTTTCCTCCCCTTCTGTTATTAATCCGTGCTTTTCCCTGCTTAACCCCCTCAGTCAGAGGTGACTCTTCTCGTCCAATGAAATGCCTGAACCCCATGACGTCACAGTGTGTTTGCTTTCCTCCCTTCAGTTATTCAATCCGTGCTTTTCCCTCCCTTGTTATCTCACAAACCCCCCTCCAGTCCAGAGTGTGACTATTCTCGTCCAATGAAATGCCTTAAACACCCATGACGTCACAGTGTGTTTGCTTCTCCTTTCCTCCCCTTCAGTTATTCAATCCAGTGCTTTTCCAATGCCTTAAACACCCCGTCCTTGTTATCTCCCTGTTATCTCAAGCAACGCCCTCAGTCCAGAGTGTGACTATTCTCGTCCAATGAAATGCCTTAAAACACCCATGACGTCACAGTGTTTGCTTTCCTCCCATTCCAATCCGTGCTTTTCCCTCCCTTGTTATCTCATGTAACTTTGCCTCCAGTCCAGAGGTGACTTATTCTCGTCCAATGAAATGCCTTAAACACCCATGACGTCACAGGTGTGTTTGCTTTCCTCCCCTTCAGTTATTCAATCCGTGCTTTTCCCTCCTTTGTTATCTCATGTAACGCCTCCAGTCCAGAGGTGTGACTATTCTTCGTCCAATGAAATGCCTTTAAACACCCATGACGTAGTGTGTTTGATGTCTCATTCAATCCGTGCTTTCCCTCCTTGTTATTCAGTTAGTTCAATCCGTGACTTTTCCCTCCAAGTTGTCTTTTAACACCACGTCAGTGTGGTCCAGTTATTCAATGGCTTTCCTCCTTGTTATCTCTAAACCTCTCCAGTCCAGAGGTGTGACTATTTCTCGTCCAATGGAATGTGACGTCCAGGTGTTTGCTTTCCTCCCCTTCAAAGTTATTCAATCCGTGTTTTTCCCTCCCTTTTGTTATCTTAGTTGTAACCCCCCCTCCAGTCAGAGGTGTGACTATTCTCGTCCAATGAAAATGCCTTAAACACCCAAGACGTCTGGTGTGTTTGCTTTCCTCCCCTTCAGTTATTCAATCCGTGCTTTTCCCTCCCTTGTTATCTCATGTAAACCCCAGTCCGGAAAATGACGTGCTTCTCCCGTTCAGTTATTCAATCCGTGCTTTTCTCCTTGTTATTCGTCCCAATGAAATGCCTTAAACTCCCTATGACGTCACAGTGTGTTTTGCTTTTCCTCCCTTCAGTTATTCAATCGTACTTTTCCTCCCTTGTTATCTCGCCATGGCCCCTCCAGTCCAGAGGTGTGCACTATTCTCGTCCAATGAAATGCCTTAAACACCTATGACGTCACAGTGTGTTTTTTCCTCCCCCTTCAGTTATTCAATCCGTGCTTTTCCCTCCCTTGTTATCTCATGTAACGCCCTCCAGTCCAGAGGTGTGACTATTCTGTCCCACCCATGACGTCACAGTGTGTTTGCTTTCCTCCCGTTCAGTTATTCAATCTGTGCTTTCCTCCTTGTTAAACCCCTCCAGTCCAGAGGTGACTACCAATGAAATGCCTTAAACACCCATGACGCTTCACAGTGTGTTTGCTTTCCTCCCCCCTTCAGTTATTCAATCCGTGCTTTTCCTCCTTGTTGTCTCTCGTAACCCCCTCCAGTCCAGAGGTGTGACTCTTCTCGTCCAATGAAATGCCTTAAACTCCCTATGATGTCACAGTGTGTTTGCTTTCCTCCCCTTCAGTTATTCAATCCGTGCTTTTCCCTCCCTTGTTCTCACAACCCCCTCCAGTCCAGAGGTGTGACTCTTCTGTCCAATGAAATCCCATGACGTCACAGTGTGTTTGCTTTCCTCCCCTTCAGTTATTCAATCGTGCTTTTCCCTCCCTTGTTATCTCGTAACCCCCCTCCAGTCCCAGAGGTGCCTTATTCTCGTCCAATGAAATGCCTTAAACACCCATGACGTCACAGTGTGTTTGCTTTCCTCCCCTTCAGTTATTCAATCCGTGCTTTTCCCTCCTTTGTTATCTCATGTAACCCCCTCCAGTCCCAGAGGTGTGACTATTCTCGTCCAAGAAATGCCTTAAACACCCATGACGTCACAGTGTGTTTGCTTTCCTCCTTCAGTTATTCAATCCATGCTTTTCCCTCCTTTGTTATCTCATACTAACCCCTCCAGTCAGAGAGGTGTGATTTCTCGTCCAATGAAATACCTTAAACACCCATGACGTCACAGTGTGTTTGCTTTTCTCCCTTCAGTTATTCAATCCGCTTTTTTCCCTCCCTTGTTATCTCATGTAACCCCTCCAGTCCAGAGGTGTGACTATTCTCGTCCAATGAAATGCCTTAAACACCCCATGACGTCACAGTGTGTTTGCTTCCCTCCCCCAGTTATTCAATCCGTGCTTTTCCCTCCCCCCCCTTGGTATCTTAACCCCTCCATCCAGAGGTGTGACTATTCTCGTCCAATGAAATGCCTTAAACTCCCATGACGTCACAGTGTGTTTGCTTTCCTCCCTTTCAGTTATTCAATCCGGGTGCTTTTCCTCCTTTGTTATCTCATGTAACCCCTCCAGTCCAGAGGTGTGAGACTATTCTCGTCCAATGAAATGCCTTAAACACCCATGACGTCACAGTGTGTTTGCTTTCCTCCCCTTCAGTTATTCAATCCCGTGCTTTTCCCTCCCTTGTTCCTCATGTAACCTCCAGTCAGAAGGTGTGACTCTTCTCGTCCAATGAAATGCCTGAAAACCCCATGTCGTCACAGTCCGTTTGCTTTCCTCCCCTTCAGTTATTCAATCGTGCTTTTCCTCCCTTGTTTATCTCACTTAACCCCCTCCAGTCCAGAGGTGTGACTATTCGTCCAATGAAATGCTGCCTTAAACTCCCATGACGTCACAGTGTGTTTGCTTTCCTCCCCTTCAGTTTATTCATCCCGTGCTTTTCCCTCCTTGTTATCTCATGTAACCCCTCCAGTCCAGAGGTGTGTCTATTCTCGTCAATGAAAATGCCTTAGTCACCCATGATGTCACAGTTGTTTGCTTTCCTCCCCTTCAGTTATTCAATCCGCTTTTCCTCCCTTGTTATCTTTTGGCCTCCAGAGGTTTTATCTCATGCCTTAACCCCCATGACGTCACAGTCCCAGGGTGTGACTCAACTGTGCTTTTCTCGTCAATGTCCAGAATGCCTTCGCTTCCCATGACGTCACAGTGTGTTTGTTTTTCCCCTTCAGTTATTCAATCCGTGCTTTTCCCTCCTTTTTGTTATCTCATGTAACGCCCTCCAGTCCAGAGGTTGACTATTCTCGTCCAATGAAATGCCTTTAAACACCCATGACGTCACAGTGTGTTTGCTTTTCCTCCCCTTCGGTTATTCAGTAGTGCTTTTCTCCCCTCCCTTTGTTATCTCTCATGTATCTCCAGTCCAGAGTTGTTATTATTCTCGTCAATGAAATGCCTTAAACACCCATGACGTCTGCAGTGTGTTTGCTTTCCTCCCCTTCAGTTATTCAATCCGTGCTTTTCCTCCCTTGTTATCTCATGTAACGCTCCTCCAGTCCAGAGGTGTTGTTCTCGTCCAATGAAATGCCTTAAACACCATATGACGTCACAGTGTGTTTGCTTTCCTCCCCTTCAGTTATTCAATCCGTACTTTTTCCTCCTTGTTGTCATAACCCCCTCCAGTCAGGGATCGTGTCTATTCTCGTCCCCTTTCAGTTATTCAAATCCCTTATCTCATGTAACAGTCCAGAGGTGTGACGTCAATGAAATGTAAACACCTGTTGACGTCACAGTGTGTTTGCTTTCCTCCCATTCAGTTATTCAATCGTACTTTTCCTCCTTGTTATCCTCATGTAACCCCCTCCAATGAAATGGTCCAGTTTGGATCCGTGCTTCCTCCCTTGTTGTCTATTCTCGTCCAAGGTGAAATGTCCTTAAACACCCATGACGTCACAGTCCGTTTGCTTTCCTCCCCTTCAGTTATTCAATCCCGTGCTTTTCCTCCCTTGTTATCTCATGTGAATATTCTCGTCCCTTAAACACCCATGACGTCACAGTGTGTTTGCTTTCCTCCCTTCAGTTATTCAATTCTCCTCCTTGTTATCTCATGTAACCCCTCCAGTCCAGAGGTGTATTCTCGTCAATGAAATGCCTTAAACACCCATGACGTCTCAGTGTTTTTCTTTCCTCCCCTTCCAGTTATTCAATCGTGCTTTTCCTCCCTTGTTATCCAAGCAACCCTCCAGTCAGAGGTGTGTTATCTCGTCAATGAAATGCCTTAAATCCGCCATGACGTCACAACGGTGTGTTTGCTTTCCTCCTTCATAGTTATTCAATCCCGTGCTTTTCCCCTCCTTGTTATCTCATGTAACGCCCTCAGTCCAGAGGTGTGACTATTCTCGTCCAATGAAATGCCTTAAACTCCAAGGACGTCACAGTGTGTTTGCTTTCCTCCCCTTGATTATTCAATCCGTGCTTTTCCTCCCTTGTTATCTCATGTAACCCCCTCCCAGTCCAGAGGAGGTGTGACTATTCTCGTTGTGAAATACCTTAAACACCCATGACGTCACAGTGTGTTTGCTTTCCTCCCCTTCAGTTATTCAATCCCGTGCTTTCCTCCTTGTTATCTCATGTAACCCCCTCCAGTCCAGAGGTGTGACTATTCTCGTCCAATGAAATGCCTTAAACTCCCCATGACGTCTGGTGTGTTTGCTTTTCCTCCCCTTCAGTTATTCAATCCGTGCTTTTCCCCCTTGTTATCTCGTAACGCCACTCGGTCAGAGGTGTGACTATTCTCGTCCAATGAAATGCCTTGAACACCCATGACGTCACAGTGTGTTTGCTTTCCTCCCTCCCAGTTATTCAATCCGTGCTTTTCCCTCCCTTGTTATCTCATGTAACCCCCTCCAGTCCAGAGGTGGACTATTCTCGTCCAATGAAATGCCTTAAACACCCATGACGTCACAGTGTGTTTGCTTTCCTCCCCTTCGGTTATTCAATCCGTGCTTTTTCCTCCCTTGTTCTCTCGTAACGCCTCCAGTCCAGGGGTGTGTCTATTCTCGTCCAATGAAATGCCTTAAACCCCTATGACGTCACAGTGTGTTTGTTTCCTCCCCTTCAGTTATTCAATCCGTGCTTTTTCCTCCCTTGTTTCTCATGTAACCCCCTCCAGTCCAGAGAATTGACTATTCTCGTCCAATGAAATGCCTTAAACTCCCCATGATCACAGTGTGTTTGCTTTCCTCCCCCTTCAGTTATTCAATCCGTGCTTTTCCCTCCCCCTTGTTATCTCCATGTAATGCCCCAGTCCAGGAGAGGTGTGACTTATTCTCGTCCAATGAAATGCCTTAAACTCCCCATGACGTCACAGTGTGTTTGTCTCCTTCAGTTATTCAACTGTGCTTTCTCCTCCCTTTTGTTATCTCAAGCAACCCTCTTAGTCCAGAGGTGACTATTCTCGTCCAATGAAATGCCTTAAACTCCCCTCACAGTGTGTTTCAATCCGTTATTCAATTTTCCCTCCTTGTTATCTCATGTAACGCCCTCCAGTCCAGAGGTGACTATTCTCGTCAATAAATGCCTTTTAAACACCCATGACGTCACAGTGTGTTTTGCTTTTCCCTCCCCTTCAGTTATCTAATCCGTACTTTTCCCTCCCTTATTTATCTCATGTAACCTCCAGTCCAGAGGTGTGACTATTCTCATCCAATGAAATGCCTTAAACTCCCATGACGTCACAGTGTTTTGCTTTTCCTCCTTGAGTTATTCAATCCGTGCTTTTCCCTCCCTTATTTATCTCCATGTAACACCCTCCAGTCCAGAGGTGTGACTATTCTCGTCCAATGAAATGCCTTAAACTCCCATGACGTCACAGTGTGTTGCTTTCCTCCCCTTCAGTTATTCAGTCGTGCTTTTCCTCCTTGTTATCTCATGTAACGGCCCTCCAGTCCAGTGGTGTGACTATTCTCGTCCAATGAAAATGCCTTAAACACCCATGACGTCACAGTGTGTTTGCTTTCCTCCCCCTTCAGTTATTCAATCCGTGCTTTTCCTCCCTTGTTATCTCTGCTGTAACCCCCTCCAGTCCAAAGGTGGGACTATTCTCGTCCAATGAAATGCCTTAAACTCCCATGACGTCACAGTGTGTTTGCTTTCTCCCCTTCAGTTATTCAATCCGTACTTTTCCTCCTTGTTATCTCATAACCCCCTCCAGTCCAGAGGTGCCTTCTTCTCGTCCAATGAAATGCCTTAAATAATCTATGACGTCACAGTGTGTTTGCTTTCCTCCCCTTCAGCTATTCAATCCATTACTTTTCCCCTCCCTTTGTTATCTCATATTAACCCCTCCAGTCAGAGAGGTGACTATTCTCGTCCAATGAAATGCCTTAAACACCCCATGACGTCACAGTGTGTTTGCTTTCCTCCCCTTCAGTTATTCAATCCCGTACTTTTCCCTCCTTGTTATCTCATGTAACCCTCAGTCCAGAGGTGACTATTCTCGTCAATGAAATGCCTTAAACTCCCATGACGTCACAGTGTGTTTGCTTTCCTCCCTTCAGTTATTCAATCCGTGCTTTTTCCCTCCCTTGTTATCTCACAACGCCTCCAGTCCAGGTGTACTATTCTCGTCCAATGAAATGCCCAAACACCCATGACGTCACAGTCCAGTGCTTTTCTCCCTTTGTGTAACCCAGTCCATAGGAGGTGTTCTTCTCGTCAATGAAATGTAAACTCCCACCCATGACGTCCACAGTGTGTTTGCTTTCCCTCCCCCTTCAGTTATTCAATCCGTACTTTCCCTCCCTTGTTATCTCATGTAACGCCCTCCAGTCCAGAGGTGCAATATTCTCGTCAATGAAATGCCTGAACACCCAATGACGTCACAGTGTGTTTGCTTTCCTCCCCTTCAGTTATTCAATCCGTGCTTTCACTCCCTTTGTTATCTCCATGTAACCCCCTCCAGTCCAGAGGTGACTATTCTCGTCAATGAAATGCCTTAAACACCCATGACGTCACAGTGTGTTTGCTTTTCCTCCCCTTCAGTTATTCAATCGTGCTTTTCCCTCCTTGTTATCTCATGTAACCCCCTCCAGTCAGAGGTGTGACTATTCTCGTCAATGAAATGCCTTAAACACCCGATGACGTGTCTCAGTGTTTGCTTTCCTCCCCTTCCAGTTATTCAATCGGTAACTTTCCTCCTTGTTATCTCATGTAACCTTTCCAGTCCAGAGTGTGAGCTATTCTCGTCAATAATGCCTTACCCATGACGTCTGGTGTGTTTGCTTTCCCTTCAGTTATTCAATCCGTGCCTTGTTATCTCTTGTTATCAATAACCCCTCAGTCCAGAGGTGTGACTTTCTCGTCAATAAAATGCCTTAAACACCTATGATGTCTCAGTTCTCTGCTTTCCTCCCCTTCAGTTATTTCCGTGCTTTTCCCTCCCTATTTGTCTCCTTGTAACCCCTCAGTCAGGATTGTGGCTATTCTCGTCAATGAAATGCCTTATTGACGTCACAGTGTGTTTGCTTTCTCCCCTTCAGTTATTCAATCATTTTCCTCCCCTTGTTATCTCATACGCTTGGCCTCGGTCAGAGGTGTAGCTTCTTCGTCCAATGAAATACTATGCGCTCCATGACGTCACCAGTGTGTTTGCTTTCTCCCCTTCAGTTATTCAATCCGTGCTTTCCTCCCTTGTTTCTCTGTAACGCCCCTCAGTCCAGAGGTGTGACTATTCTCGTCAATAAATGCCTTAAACACCCAGCGTCACGTGTGTTTTGCTTTCCTCCCCTTCAGTTATTCAATCGTGCTTTCCCTCCTTGTTATCTCTCGTAACCTCGAGTCCAGAAATTAGCGGCTATTCTCGTCCAATGAAATGCCCTTCTCCCGCGACGTCTGGTGTGTTTGCTTTCCTCCCCTTCGGTTATTCAATCATTTCCTCCTCCTTGTTGTCTCATGTAACGCCCTCCAGTCAGAGTGCTGACTATTCTCGTCCAATAGAAATGCCTTAAGCACCCATGACATTACAGTAATATTTGCTTTCCTCCCTTCAATTATTCAATCCGTGCTTTTCCCTCACTTGTTATCTCATGTAACCCCTCAGTCCAGAGGTGTGACTATTCTCGTCAATGAAATGCCTTAAACTCCCATGACGTCACAGTGTGTTTGCTTTCCTCCCCTTCAGTTATTCAATCCGTGCTTTTCCTCCCTTGTTATCTCATTAAACCCCCTCAGTCAGGGTGTGGCTATTCTCGTCCAATTAAATGCCTTAAACTCCCATGACGTCACAGTGTGTTTGCTTTCCTCCCCTTCAGTTATTCAATCCGTGCTTTTCCCTCCTTGTTATCTCATGTAACCCCCTCCAGTCCAGAGGTGTGTCTATTCTCGTCCAATGAAATGCCTTAAACTCCATGACGTCACAGTGTGTTTGCTTTCCTCCCCTTCAGTTATTCAATCCGTGCTTTTCCCTCCTTGTTATCTCATGTAACCCCCTCCAGTCCAGAGGTGTGACTATTCTCGTCCAATGAAATGCCTTAAACACCCTGACGTCACAGTGTGTTTTCTTTCCCCTTCAGTTATTCAATCCGTGCTTTTCCCTCCTTGTTATCTCATGTAACCCCCTCCAGTCCAGTGGTGACTATTCTCGTCCAATGAAATGCCTTAAACACCCTTGACGTCACAGTGTGTTTGCTTTCCTCCCCTTCAGTTATTCAATCCATTACTTTTCCTCCCTTGTTATCTGTGTAACCCCCTCCAGTCCAGAGGTGTGTCTATTCTCGTCAATAAATGCCTTAAACACCATGACGTCACAGTGTGTTTGCTTTCCTCCCCTTCAGTTATTCAATCCATGCTTTCCCTCCTTGTTATCTCATGTAACCTCCAGTCAGAGGTGTGTCTATTCTCGTCAATGAAATGCCTTAAACACCCATGACGTCACCCAGTCCGTTTGCTTTCTCTCCCTTCAGTTATTCAATCGTTGCTTTTCCCTCCCTTGTTATCTCATGTAACCCCCTCAGTCCAGAGGTGTGACTATTCTCGTCCAATGAAATACCTTAACCACCTGTGATGTCTCAGTGTGTTTGCTTTCTCCCCTTCAGTTATTCAATCGTGCTTTTCCTCCTTGTTATCTCATGTAACCCCCTCCAGGTCAGAGGTGTGACATTATTCTCGTCAATGAAATGCCTTAAACACCATGACGTCACAGTGTGTTTGCTTTCCTCCCCTTCAGTTATTCAATCCGTGCTTTTCCCCTTGTTATCTTGTTAACCCCCTCCAGTCCAGAAGGTATGGCTTATTCTCGTCATGTAACATGCCCTCCCCATGACGTCAGAGGTTTGCTTTCCTCCTTGTGTTATTCTATTTCCCTCCTTGTCGTCCAATGAAACCCCTTAAACACCCATGACGTCACAGTGTGTTTGCGTTTGTTTGCTTCCTCCCTTCAGTTATTCAATCCGTGCTTTTCCCTCCCTTGTTATCTCATGTAACCCCCCTCCAGTCCAGGTGTGACTATTCTCGTCCAATGAAATGCCTTAAACACCCTATGACGTCACAGTGTGTTTGCTTCCTCCCCTTCAGTTATTCAATCCCGTGCTTTTCCCTCCTTGTTATCTCATATTAACGCCCTCCAGTCCAGAGGTGTCTATTCTCGTCAATGAAATACCTTAAACTCAGCAACGTCACAGTGTGTTTGCTTTCCTCCCCTTCAGTTATTCAATCAAGTACTTTTCCTCCTTGTTATCTCATGCTAACCTCCAGTCAGAGACATTTATTCGTCCAATGAAATACCTTAAACACCCGCGACGTCACAGTATTGTTGCTTTCACTCCTTCAGTTATTCAATCTGCTTTTCCTCCTTGTTATCTCGTAACGCCCTCGGTCAAATTCGCGACTGTTCTCGTCCAGCAAATGCGCCCAAAGCTTACCGCGGCGTCACCGGTGTGTTTGTTTCCTCCCATTCGTTATTTAATCCATTGCTTTCCTCCTTGTTATCTCATGTAACCTCAGTCCCAGAGGTGTGACTATTCTCGTCAATGAAAGTACCTTAAACTCCCAGCAGCATCACGGTGTTTGCTTTCCTCCCCTTCAGTTATTCAATCCGTGCTTTTCCCTCCCTTGTTGTCTCATGTAACCCCCTCCAGTCCAGAGGTGTGACTATTCTCGTCAATGAAATGCCTTAAACTGTGATGACGTCACAGTGTGTTTGCTTTCCTCCTTCAGTTATTCAATCCGTGCTTTCCCTCCCTTGTTATCTCATGTAACCCCCTCCAGTCGGAGGTGTGTCTATTCTCGTCCAATGAAATGCCTTAAACACCCATGACGTCACAGTGTGTTTGCTTTCTCCCCTTCAGTTATTTCAATCGTGCTTTTCCCTCCTTGTTATCTCATGTAACCCCCTCCAGTCCAGAAGTGTGTCTATTCTCGTCCAATGAAATGCCCTTAAAACCTATGACGTCACAGTGTGTTTTGCTTTCCCCTTCAGTTATTCAATCCCGTGCTTTTCTCGTCCTTGTTATCTCATGTAACCCCCCCTCCAGTCCAGGGTGTGTCTATTCTCGTCCAATGGCCTCGAATGAAACCTTAAACACCCATGACGTCACAGGTGTTTGCTTTCCTCCCTTGTTATTCAATCGTGCTTTTCCCTTGTTATCTCATGTAACCCCCCAGTCCAGTCAGTTATTCTATTCTCGTCCAATGAAATGCCTTTTCTTACCTGTGACGTCAGTGTGTTTGCTTTCCTCCCTTCAGTTATTCAATCCGTGCTTTTCCCCCTTGTTATCTCCAACCCCCTGCAGTCCAGAGGTGTGTCTATTCTCGTCCAATGAAATGCCTTAAACACCTGTGATGTCTCAGTTCGTCTGCTTTCCTCCCCTTCAGTTATTCAATCCGTGCTTTTCCCTCCCTTGTTATCTCATGTAACCCCCTGCAGTCCAGAGGTGTGTCTATTCTCGTCCAATGAAATGCCTTAAACACCTGTGATGTCTCAGTTGTTTTGCTTTCCTCCCCTTCAGTTATTCAATCCGTGCTTTTCCCTCCTGTTATTATCTCATGTAACCCCCTCCAGTCCAGAGTGGTGACTATTCCCTCGTCCAATGTAACGCCCTACCTTAAACTCCCTTGACGTCATCAGTGTGTTTCTTTCCTCCCCTTCAGTTATTCAATCCGTGCTTTTCCCTCCCTTGTTATCTCATGTAACCCTCCAGTCAGAGGTGACTATTCTCGTCCAATAAATGCCTTAAACACCATGACGTCACAGTGTGTTTGCTTTCCTCCCCCCTTCAGTTATTCTGTGCTTTTCCCTCCCTTGTTATCTCATGTAACCCCCTCAGGTCAGAATTGGGAATATTCTCGTCAATGAAATGCCTTAAGCACCCTTGACGTCACAGTGTGTTTTGCTTTCCTCCCTTCAGTTATTCAATCCGTGCTTTTCCTTGTTATCTCATGTAACCCCCTCCAGTCCAGAGGTGTGACTATTTCGTCCAATAAACACCTATGATGTCTCAGCCTTAAACACTCCCCTTCATGTATCCGGTGTTTCTTTCCTCCCCTTCAGTTATTCAATCCGTGCTTTTCCCTCCTTGTTATCTCATGTAACCCCCTCATGTCTCAGAGGTTTTCCTCCCTCTCAGTTATTTGTCTTTTCTCGTCAATAGTCCAGAGGTGTGAATGCCGTCCAATAAACACCCATGACGTCTCAGTGTGTTTGCTTTCTCCTCCCCTTCAGTTATTCAAACCTGTGCTTTTCCCCTCCCTTGTTATCTCATGTAACCCCTCCAGTCCAGGTGTGACTATTCTCGTCCAATGAAATGCCTTAAACACCCATGACGTCTGTGTGTTTGCTTTCCTCCCCTTCAGTTATTCAATCGTGCTTTTTCCTCCTTGTTATCTCATGTAACCCCTCCAGTCCAGAGGTGTGTCTATTTCGTCCAAGGAAATGCCTTAAACACCTGGAGATGTCTCAGTTCGTCTGCTTCTTTCCTCCCTTCAGTTATTCAATCCGTGCTTTTCCCTCCCTTGTTATCTCATGTAACCCCTCCAGTCCAGGAGGTGTGACTATTCTCGTCCAATGAAATGCCTTAAACTCCCCATGACGTCTTCAGTGTGTTGCTTTCCTCCCTTCAGTTATTCAATCGTGCTTTTCCTCCCTTGTTTCTCATGTAACCCTCCAGTCCAGAGGTGTCTATTCTCGTCCAATGAAATGCCTTAAACTCCCATGACGTCACAGTGTGTTTGCTTTTCCTCCCTTCAGTTATTCAATCCGTGCTTTCCCTCCTTGTTATCATGTAACCCCCTGCAGTCAGAGGTGTGACTATTCTCGTCAATGAAATGCCTTAAACACCTGTGATGTCTCAGTTGTGTTGCTTTCCCTCCCCTTCAGTTATTCAGTCGGTAACTTTCCTCCTTGTTGTCTCCTTAACCTCTGTAGTCCAGGGAGGTGTGACTATTCTCGTCCAACAGAAATGCCTTAAACTCCCCATGCGGCGATGTCACAGTGTGTTTTGCTTTCCTCCCCTTCAGTTATTCAATCCGTGCTTTCCCTCCTTGTTGTCTGTGTAACCCCCTCCAGTCCAGAGGTGTGACTATTCTCGTCAATGAATGCCTTAAACTCCCCATGACGTCACAGTGTGTTTTGCTTTCCTCCTTCAGTTATTCAATCTGTACTTTCCCCTTGTTATCTCATGCCAACGCCCTCCAGTCCAAATTAGGACTATTCTCGTCAATGAAATGCGCCAAACACCCATGACGTCACAGTGTGTTTGCTTTTCCTCCCCTTCAGTTATTCAATCCATGCTTTTCCCTCCTTATTTATCTCATAAACCCTCCAGTCAAGAGGTGTGACTATTCTCGTCCAATGAAATGCCTTAAGCACCTGATGACGTCACAGTTCGTTTGCTTTTCCTCCCTTCTAGTTATTCAATCCGTCTTTTTCCCTCCCTTGTTATCTCATGTAACCCCTCAGTCCAGAGGTGTGTCTATTCTCGTCCAATGAAATGCCTTAAACACCTGTGATGTCACAGTGTGTTTTTCCTCCCTTCAGTTATTCAATCCGTGCTTTTCCTCCCTTGTTATCTCATGTAACCCCTCAGTCCAGAGGTGTGTCTATTCTCGTCCAATGAAATACCTTAAACTCCCATGACGTCAGTGTGTTGACCTCCCTTCAGTTATTCAATCCGTACTTTTCTCTCCTTGTTATCTCCCTCAGTCCAGAGAATTGTGACTATTCTCGTTGAAATGCCTCTTTTAAACTCCCGTCAGTTGTAGTGTGTTTGCTTTCCTCCCCTTGTTATTCAATCCGTGCTTTTCCCTCTTTGTTATCTCATGTAACCCCTCATCAATGTCCAGCTTACCTGTGATGTCTATTCTCGTCCAATCAAATGCCTTAAACTCCCATGACGTCACAGTGTGTTTGCTTTCCTCCCCTTCAGTTATTCAATCCGTGCTTTTCCTCCTTGTTATCTCATGTAACCCCCTCCAGTCAGAGGTGTGTCTATTCTCGTCAATGAAATGCCTTAAACTCCCATGACGTCACAGTGTGTTTGCTTTCCTCCCCTTCAGTTATTCAATCGTGCTTTTTCCTCCTTGTTATCTCATGTAACCCCCTCCAGTCCAGTGGGTGTGACTATTGTCCAATGAAATCCCTTAAACTCCTATGACGTCACAGTGTGTGTTTGTTTTCTCCCTTCTAGTTATTCACATCTGTGCTTTTTCCTCCCTTGTTATCTCATAACACGTCCAGTCCAGTGTGTTTGCTCCAATGAAATGCCTTAAACAGTTGATGTCACAGTCCGTTTGCTTTTTCCCTTTTCTCCTGTTATCTCATGTAACCCCCTCCAGTCCAGAGGTGTGCCTTATTCTCGTCCAATGAAATGCCTTAAGCTCCCATGACGTCACAGTGTGTTTGCTTTCCTCCCCTTCAGTTATTCAATCCCGTGCTTTTTCCTCCTTGTTATCTCATGTAACGCCCTCTGGTCAAGCGGTGTGACTATTCCTGTCCAAAGAAATGCCTTAAACACCTATGATTTCACAGTCCGTTTACTTTTCCTCCTTCAGTTATTCAATCCGTCTTTTCACTCCTTGTTATCTCCATGTAGCCTCCAGTCCCAGAGAGTGTATTCTCGTCCAATGGTACTATACAACTCCCCTTGACGTCACAGTGTGTTTGCTTTCCTCCCCTTCAGTTATTCAATCCGTGCTTTTCCCTCCTGTTATCTCATATAACCCCCTCCAGTCCAGAGGTGTGTCTATTTCTCGTCAATGAAATGCCTTAAACTCCCATGACGTCACAGTGTGTTTGCTTTCTCCCCTTCAGTTATTTCAATCCGTAGCTTTTCTCCTTGTTATCTCATGCATAACCCCTCCAGTCCAGA